TGGCTGATGAAGAATAAGGGAGTTTGATTAATGTAAAAGCTGCCACTGATATGTCACACGCATGTCAAATTCTGACATTTGACATTTTGCAAGCGAGAGACGCCAACGCCAACGCCGTGGCGCGCTCGCATGGTGGCTGCCTGGTTGGATGAGCAACGCACACCGCCAGCAGACCAGCACCACACACACACGCACACACACACACACACACACAGTCAGCAACCACCAGCAGCAAGAAAGTTGAGTGCAAGCGACGAGTTCCTCGTTTGCTTACTTATTTAAAAATACATCGAATGCGCGGTGCGTTAATACATCCGTTAGAGTGCCATTTTGTATGTCAGCCCAGAGCAGAACCCTCGGCCCACTCCCCACGCTCGGCTAGCACTGAGGCTGGGCAGAGACAGGTGGAGGGACGCAGTTTGACCTCCTGACTGGTTGTTTGCATCCCTTTTCCATCAGAGCACATCCAGCACATCCAGCACATCCTGCGACTTGGCTCTGCTTCACTGCTGCTGGCACTTGACAACGACGACATTTGCGCATAAAAAATGCAGCATTATTTGACTGCGAATTAATGTTAAATTGTTGTAGGACGCTGCTGCTCGGGCGAGCGGTTCGGTTCGGCTCGGCTCGGTACGTTGATGTTGATGTGGGAAATGTCACATTGTGACAGTTGACGCCGACAAGTGTACGCCTTGTTGTTACTGTACATTTTTATAAATATTTAATTATATTTTGTTTCCATTTTCGGCTCAGGCTTTAGCTCCAGCTCCAGCTCCAGCTCCGGCTATGGCTGTGGATGTGGATGTGGCTCGCCGGTCGTGACCCACCCCTCGGCCCACACTTGATAAACATTTGATTAATCACACGCACACAATTACATACACAAATACAGCTAGAGAAACAGATACAAATACAATTTTCACACTCTGGTAAAAGATCAAAGCACTCTTCTGCCTTCGGCAATGCAATAACAGTCCGTCAATTCGTCCAGACCGAGGCCCCAACTAGTCAGTGAGTGAAACTATTCGCGCATTATGTCTAAATAAACAAACAGAACAGCGACTGGCACTGCCTGATCCAATCCAATCCAAGAGCAAGAGCAAGAGCTAGAGCAAGATCTAGAGCAAGAGGAAGAGTTAACGGAAATCTATGGAAATCGTTTGCCATCTTTCGATAGTTGATCGTGAAGACTTCGTTCTTCTGTTAGTAAGATGTATGGCGCTGTGTGTGTTTCATGTGGGTGGAAAATTTATTTGAAAAACAATTTTCATGAAAAGTATGCGCATACAAAACTGACAGCTTTTGGCTTCAAGAAAAATCAACAAACTGCTCGGGACTATAAATCGCAATCTACTGACCCAAACATAATATTGTTTGTAAAGAAACACATGGGCGGGATCTGGATCTGGTTCTGGCCCAAGCCGAATGCTGAATGGGCATAAATAAAAGTTAGTTTGTTTCGAAAGCCACTGGAACAGCAGAGTCTAGTGAAATTAAAATGTCATTATTGATGGCAATTCCCAAGTGGAATATTAATTGCTCAGCCGAGCTAAATAAATAATTAATGACAATGATGTGCTCTATTGATGTACGTGGAGTAATGAAATAATAAAATGAGGCAATTGTCAGGAGTGTGTATTAGATATAAAATAATGAGATTGAGTTGTAAACATTTTAACAATATAAGAATATTTACTCTACAATTTTAATGTGTAACTAAGCTCGAGCTAGACACAATAATACTAAGCACGAAGCTCACTTAATGATGTCATGCTTAATCAAGTAAATTTAGGGCCTTTTCTTTGTTGATAGTAATATAAGGAAACCTTGCCTTATTTAAAATATTTAATTAATTACATTTGAAATGGGAAAATTATTTAAAATTAAATCCATCAATCTGGCTGCTATCTACGGTTCGCCTTTCAAATGAGTTGGGCGCATTACTATCTGTGTTGCCTGAAGGCCTTTGTTGCTCTGCCTTTCAACTAAATTGTTATTTAGAATTTAAAATAAATAAATAAACTACATATATATGTTTTATGTATATCTCTAATATACATATGCCAAGTATTCAGAGTCATAGTCACTCTCGTATACCCAGTTGCACTAAGGCTCTCAGCTGTCGCCTGCACATAAATTCACAAGCACTCATAACGGCAACGAACTTCATTTTCATTAGCAAAAATGTTGAGTTGCCCGGTGGAGTTGGAGTTGGAGTTGGGCCGGCAGACATGACAAAAAGTGCAACCATCAGGCAAACGGGTATTTACGGCCTCGTTGGCGACTGGCGCATGAGTTTTGGGAGTCGAGCGCGGTAATGTGGCTAAAGATAGCGACGCCAGCCGCAATGGGAAATTTATTGGCTGCGCTGCGCCAGCTAAAATCAGAGCCAAGTGCTCATAAATAAATATCGGACGAGGTGGCTAAATCAAATGATGTGCCCTAACTGGGGGGCAGCCCTTACCTGGCGAACTCTTTCGGCAACTCTGGGCTGATTAGCTATTCCGAATGTCGTTCGAAACTACACACACACACACATACAAATATAAGAGCCACATGTGCGAACTGGGCGTCTGTGGATTAGGTTCATCTTCATTTCGCCTCCAGTCATCGGAGTGCGCGACTTTTGTGCTGGCCTTTGTCTTGGGGGACCCACAAAATGTGAATGTGTCTCGCAAGCATCGACTTATAATTTGCATATTAATTACATTACTGCTGCCCGGCTGAACTGTGCTGAACTTTAGCTTCGACAGCATCTAATCGGTAATGCCGAGAAATTAAAAAAAGATTAATTTAAAGCGATCAGTGAACGCCATTTGCTCATTAGGCAGCCGTCGCAGCCAGCGGATCGGCAAACGAGCTTAGCGCTGTTTTCGTTATTTTTTTTCTTTTTTTTAAATTTTTTTCTCTTATTTTTTGGAAGGCCAATCAAAAATTTAAATGAAGCTGCAAAGTTCCGAAACTAAGTTGAAATGCTTAACTTTTTTTACCCCCGGAATATTTCGTATTTTGTTAAATTAATCTCAACGAAATTCAAATACGCAGCTAGCCGCAGCCTTTGAGAAACAAAATAACAAATACGAAAATCTTTGCTGAGCTATTTTAGTGCTCTGACGCATCTTTATATATCAAAGTCACATGCGCTTTAAGTTTTTTAGCAGATAGTATTTTAAATTCAGGCACAAAAACTATGTGTGTGTGTTTGACTTTTAAACAATCGGATTGTAGTACTACAAGTATACATATCATGTCCAGGATTGTTAAAAATGCTTATAGATGGATATTACACTCATATATATGTAGTAAAACTTGAAACAACCCGATTCTATAAGTATGTATTTATAATAAGCTAAAGTCTTGTATAGGAGTTTCAATAAATGTTTTTTCTATATTCTAAAAGTTTACTAAACTGGATTAATCAATCATATTGTAAGTACTCTTAATAAATACAAATTTTTATTCACAATTAGATTAAATGATTCATGAAAAAAAGGATTTTCTTTAGAAAAATTATTATCCTTAATAATGTGATCGAAAGTCCGATATATTTAGTAAATCTAAATCTTAAAGAAATTTGGCGTTTGTAACAAATACATGCATAAATTCTAATTTGATTCTATATATTTGATTGTTTTTTTTTTTTTTGTTTTTTTCCAAAAAAAAAATAACAATTGTTTAGATGATTTACAATAATGGTAATAATAATATTATTATTATTTTTATTAAGAGGACGTTTTTTTTAGACGTTGAGCAGTCATGGAGTCAGACACTCTAGCCAGAGAGACCTTACTGACGGTGCATAAAGCATTTTTCCCATCTCAGCCGATTTATTTATAGGTAGATTTTAATATCTATAGTTATGTGCTCTTTTGCTACACAAATTCTTAGGTTATATATTGTGAGAACTAGAGTTGAAATTATTTATCGCTTCAATTTGCCACACTTTGATATTCAACGCGTTTTAGATTTTCAAAATTAAAATGTTGAATTAATTATATAAAACAAAAAAGTTTCCGAGCGAAAAATCTAAGCCACAAGTTCAAATGTTCATCGACCTCGGTTATCATTATAATACCCACGAATGCTGCGTGTTAAGTCAAAAGTGAATCAAGTTCAGCTCAAATTTTAATCTGCATAATTTGCTGTAAATCGAGTCAAGAAAGTTTTACATTTGCCTTTTAAATGACGACCTGGCTTACCAATTCAACTCTTTATAAGTCTGATTCTATTAAAGCGAACTGTGACGAAAGATTGATTATGTTATTGGCATGCAAATGGAATCGAAGCAATCTAGTGGTTCTTCAGCTTGGCATAAAGCAAGATTCATTTAAGTAGCAAGAGACTTTCTTTTGTCTATAATCCTTATATCAGGTCATCTGGCATTACATGGGATTTGGGCTAAGAAAACCGCATCATCCGTCAGCTGACAGATGATCACGCAGATACGGATACGGATGCGGATGCGGATACGTATGGTGCAGCTGATGCGAATATGGATGAGGCTGACCCTTCTTGCCGGCACCCAAAGAGTCAACACCGTGATGAATAGCGTGCTAATTGTTGACAGACAAGCAGCCGAGCGCATGAATGTCAAATGCACAACAAACACAATGTGCGACATCTGATTGAGATCGCTACGGCAAGGGGCGGCCTGGCCAAAAGGACTCGGTTACGAATGCGAATTACTAATAACAAAACAGTTGACAATGCAGTCCCAATCCAGCCTGTTTGTTGTCGCTGCTGCTGGTGACGGTGACGGCCGGTGGTGGTGGTCTTAGCCTGACATTGAGCCGCGTAACTCGTCGTCATCGTCCTCATCGTCCTCATCGTCATCATCAACGGGAGACAAGTCAGGTTTACCCATATGCGATTATCCTGCATATTTATATGTCTTTACCCCTTGCCACGCTCGCCTCCTGCTCAGCTGCTGCGTTTGCGGAGTACAACAAAATCGAAATTGACTTTGACTTTTCTGACAATTATTAGTTTAACGCATGTTCTGTTTGCTGCCTCTTTTATTTAGCCTTTCAAGCGCGAAATTGTTTGTTGTTTTTGTTGCTGGCACTTTGATTCAAATGCAGGGATAGGAGAGGGGGCTGGGTCCGGGTCCGGGGCCAAGGAGCTGCAGTGCTGTGCCAGCCAGGCCAGGCTGTTGTTGTAGCTGTTATTTTTGTTGTTGTTTGAACTTCCTGCGATTGTTCACAGTCTCGCTTCTCTGACAGATCTGTGACAGCCAGAAGCAAGGCCAGTGGCTGCAGCCCGCCTCGCCTTGGCTCGGCTTGCCTCAATGCGGCTCCATGGATCATGTGGGGTGGCTGCCTCATGGCTGCTAGCTGCTGGCTGCTGCATTTGATGGATGCCACTTTGGCCATTGTTTGTAAAGTGTTAATGTGCTGCCGTTTGCCATTTGCTGTTGCCATGGCTGCCTGCGGAAATTCAGTATTTTCTGCTTGGCTAGTCCAACTGAATGTGGCCTATTGAAATTGATAATTTTTGGCTGGCTGGCTGGCTGGCCCCGACCGCGACTGTTTCAGTCTCAAATTTGGATTCACCCCAAGCTGTGGAAATGTGTTTATTTTTACAGATTTACATAATATCTATAGATCGTCCTGAATGGATATAACTAAGCATAGCCTTCCCCTCCGACCCTCAGACCTACTCGGTAATCGAAAGACATGTGCAATGTGCCCGGATTGTCGCCGGCTTGTGTGAAAGTCAGTGCGAAGAAAGAGCAACAACGAAATGAAAGCAAACGGAGCAGGAGAGTGGCAGGAAAACAGAAAATAAAAGAAAACGAAGAAAAGAGAAAGATTTAATGTCGACTTTAGGTGATTTATTACCAACAAAATTGCGTCCAGGGCATCTACGTTGAGTGCAACGCGACGCGTACAATACATATATATATGTATATGTATATGTATGTATATCTATGTATATGTATAAGGCTGCAACAATATAGAAATGGAAGTATAGTATAGAAAATAGAATGGAAATAAAAGGCAAGGGCAAAGGCAAAGGACACACAGCCAGCCAGAGAAACAGACAATTGGTTCACTTCAAATGTCAGGCAATCGCCAAAGGAGATGGGGAAGGGGACAGCTACAGAGAGAGAGAGAGACACGGAGACGGAGACGGAGACGCAGACGGGGCTGGGATTTTAAGATGGAACTAATAGCATTAAAACTTGCGTAAATGCACCAAGATAATTTCTATTTTTGAGGGTGTGAAATGTATACACACACACACTCGCACGAACAGGGAACAGGGCACGGTGAAAGTCATTTCGGGGTCGAGATACAGATGCACACACACACACACAAATTGTACATTGTACAAGTAGAGAGAAAATAGAAGTCGAGCAGGCAGCGTGAGAAATTTGTTGCTGTTTTTAATTTCTTTTGTATCGATGCGACGATTCCGATTTGGATTTCGATTTCGATTTCATTTTCGTTTGTGTGGCTGTCGTCTAAAATTGGATTTATTTGTGTGGGGGCTTTACTGTATTTAGCCCAGGCAATAGATCAAAATCTACAATTCGCCTTTGTCTGCTGGGGCTTACTTGAGCGGAAGGCGTTCTGGGAGCAAACCAAAGCAGAGCAGAGCAGAGTATCTATTGAATACAGTCTGTATTATTTACAAATTTAAAATTTAATATGTAAAATGCTTGCGCTTTGGCTCCATTAAATATTCATTTGATTCTGGCAGCTGTGTGTATCCGTTGGATACATTTTCACTTTGCACTCTGCCATCGGCCCACTCAATTATTCATTTGCTTAATTAGTGGGCAAATCGTGCTCCTCTCCCGAATTAAGCTAATTAAATAAAAGGTAGCTAAATAAAAATTAGAATTTGTCTCACTAAGTGGATGTGACAATTTACCACGTTCCACGTCTCATGCCGTGTTGGCCGCACTTAATGCCTGATAAATGAGCCAAATTGACTAGACCAAAATAGATATGAAGGCATACAATTATATAAAACGTTAGATAGTCGAGTTGTATTAAATACAAAAATATTGCGTTCACTAAGCAGTCTTGAATTTTCAAACTTTACTAATTCCTTAAGATTTTTGATTTATTTCTCTTTAGTTTTTGTTTAGCCGTGGCTTCCCTATTATAGCTCGAGTGAGAAATATACTTAACTATTTACCATTTGGCTAGACCAAAATAGATATGAACGCAATGCAGCTTATGTATATTAAATGCTCAAGTGAAGTCAACAGCAATATAATTGATATAATATAATTAATATTGAACATATGCATTAAGCAAATTTACTTGACAATTTAGGATTTACTTTGATATTTTAATTTCAGATAAAATATTTTGGTTTTCTTTTCGTGTCGTGCATGCATTGTTGTAATTCCAATAGAAATCGTGACAAATTGAGCTGCGTAATTGTAAATAAAACCAGAAATATTTATCAGATAGGTTTCAGCTCGCACCTAATCTATTTCAGTCTAATCAAATATGCATTTCCTATAAAATAAAGTCGGTTTAAATTGGTAAAGTAATAAATTTTAATTTTCTAATTAATTTATAAATATAAATACAGATGAATATATATGTCAAGAATTTTTTTAGATGAAAAACGAGCGTTATAGTTCGAGTCCTAGATTTGTATATCTTAGTGGAGTAATATTAAAATATATTAAATATTTGTTCTTCTGCTTTATCTAGATTACATTCCAATTAATTATAAGAGCATAACAATAAGAAGAAGAATAATTGGAATAAGTCTATAATAATAAAATGTTTCGTCTTCTCTAAATTTGTATGCAAGCAATTAAGATAATTAATATATTATTTTGTATATCAAATACAATATATATGAAAATAACATATAAAATTAAATGTTAACACAAATATTTGTCAAAGTTTCCATATAATGCTGACACCTTATGTAGGCTTATTAGCATTAGTGTTCTGTTGTCGGATCATGGCTTATGTGGCTGTGCTATTCACCTACATTACAGCTGTATGCGGAGTATGTATGTACATATGTATTGCCCACGCATCTGAATAAGCCGCTGCCGCAGCAAAGAGGTTCAATCAATTCCACATTACCGAACGCCAAGTAGATCAGATGCCAAAAAGGCGTAGGGCAGGGCGAGCCAGAGTGGGGCAGGGCATAAGAGCCGAGAGGGGGCCAGAGTGGATGGACAGTTGCTAAAGTACATACATACATATATGAGGGCACAGAGAGCGTACGGCGTATGGCAAAAACCAAATCCCACTAATGTGCTTAAATAAATTTTGCCAGCGTTTAAGCCAATTAGTCCGTCGGACATTTTACTTCTTGTCAACTTTGGTAGCCGGCCGCTTTTGGCCGCTTTTGGTAGCTTCTGGGGTCGTTTGGCCGTTTGGTCGATTTGTCTGTCTGTCGGTCGGTTGCTCTGTCTGTCTGTCTGTCGACCGTCCAGTCGTTGGCTTGTCGGCTACTCGTGGGCTGGCCCACTTGCTGCTCCATGCGGTGCGTTGGCTGCTGTTTCTGCTGACAATGTAGCTCGGGGTTTCTGTTTCTGTTTCTGTTTTTCTCTTTCTCTCTCTCCTTCTATCTTTCTCTCTGTCTCTCTCACTTTGTCTGTAGTGCTTATGCAGCAAATATCCGTGGGATTAAAATTGTATGTGCCTCGTAGTCTTTGCCGCGGCTGCCGCTTTTCATGCCCTTTTACGCATTTTTGCCTTTTTGCTTTAGCTTTTTTCGGGATTATTGAAGTGCAATTAAGCTAAAATGTCAACGTGAAAAAAATTAATCGTTATACTACCCTTTTTATGGCTTCCCCTTTCGGGCAGTCCTCTGGCCGAGCCTCTCTTCCCCCTCCCGCTTTCCCCAGCCCAGCCCAATCGCCAATCTGCTCCTTAGCCTTAGCTCTTTCTATCTCAGTCCCAGTGTCCCGCTTATCTGCTGCGTTTCATCGCAAGTTTTACAAGCAAACTCATTTACCGGCAGGTTGCCGCCAGCTTGTGGCTCCTCGCTCCTTCTCAGTCCAGTCCTGCAATTGCAAGCGGACGAGTTTTTAAAATCTAATTCATGTACATGTCAAAAATTGGCTTGCATTATGAGGCACCACCATCGAGAGGCAGCAGTTGATGATGCCGCCGGCTATGTGGAGCCCAAAACCGAATCGTACCGAACCCCAAGCCGACTGACTGTTTGTCGTCCATGGCGTCGTTCATGTCGCCGTTGCCGTAATGATTTGTAATTTATGAATTTCGGTCGCTGCCAAAGGCTATCAGAGCACGTCTTCAGCTTGCCAGCAATCTTATCAGACCGAAATCCAAAAGAGACTGCAATTGTTTGCCCACTGCATCGCCAACTTTGTTCGCTGCCTGTTGCCCGTTGCCCGCTGCTCTGCTGCTCTGTTGCTTTTTCCTTTTGGTTAGAGTTCGAGTACTCGGACCACCATAAACAATTGCCTGGCAACGTCGCTAATCGTCGAGTTAACATTTTATCGCTACTGTGCTGGCACTAGGCAAATATGTGCATTGAAAAATTGAAACTGAAACTGAAGCAACTCAAATATTTTCGTGTTTGCCGTGCGGCTCAGCCCGGTGACAGATTTGCGGCCGGCACTAGCACCGGCACCGGCACCGGCTCCGGCTCTGGGTCTAGCTTCGGGCTCGTAAATCTCAGTTGTTGTACTATTTTGAAACCATATACGCTCTTCCAGCGGTGCCACCGCCACCGCCACCGCCACCGCCACCACACATTTTTTATCACAATATCTGAACAAAATGTTTAGTACGCAGTAATTTTGTTATCTTGGCAGCGCAGCGCAGCTATTTATACAATGCGAGCGTTTTAGGCAATCTGTGAGGAGTGGGGAGGGGGAAGTGTGGCACCCTTTGATATCTAGCTATCTGGCAGCTATCTCCAACCGCTCCATATATGCATATATGTACATATATGTAGATACGTGCCCATGACGTTGTCGCATTCGCATTGTCGCATTATGTCAATGACGACAGCAGCGCCACATGAATGCAGTGATTGTTTAGTCGGAAATTATTGGCTGACGTCCCAGCTCACCGAGCTGCCCAGCGTGCCCAGGTGGCTCAGGTGCGCAGGAGCAGCAGCAGCAAGGCGGTTGGCCGTCGAGTACTTAGTGCGAGATTAGTTGAGCATTTGGCGTGGGAATCGATTCTTTACTTGACTGCAATAATTGCTAAATATAATACAAATAAGGGTTTTACAATGAGAGCATATTATTTCTTTCGGGCGCATTGATGTATATATGGATATGGATTTATGTAGGGGCAGAACTGCTGACGGATGGTATATCAAAATATTTAAGATCTTTGATTACATAATATCTATTAAAAGACAAAGTCTATAAATTTCATAAATTGAAAGTCTAAAATCTAAGCCTAATCAAATGGTTAAAAAAACGAAGTGTTTAACTCAGTTCAAATTGTATGTTTTATTTTTAGTATAATTCCACATTAATGCTCATCATGTTTGACAAAGGAATTTAGTTATTATTATTATTTTTGTTTGTTTAGTTAATTTAATTCATTGATGAAGCGAGTTTATTTAGATTAAAAATATAGAAAAAATATGTGTGTCTCAATAAAATAATTATTTAATTGTTATTATTTAATTAAGTTTATTTTGATCATCGTCACAAGAGTAGTCCATATAAATTTATTTATTATAGTTAGCAGAAAAGCTAGCGAAATCTTTGGTTAATGGTTATGCACAGAAATTAAAAAAGGGAATATTATTAATTATTAAAAATAAGAAAAAAACATTTAAGAAATGCCTGAAAATAAGTATTAAGTAGCTTTAATTCCGCTCAACATTTTTGGTCGTTAATCATTCTGATTTACACATTGAACATCAAGGTTAGTTTGGCTTGGATATATTTATAATATATTTACATTTAATATATTGTATTCACATGCACAAAAAACATGGAGCATGATATATTAATAAAATACTTTAAATAATTATTTTAAATAGGCGAGTTAATTGAATATCATTGACTTTCGATCCACTGACAGAATGCATAAAAAATAATTGGAAAAGAATAATAATTATATATATTTTCTATTACATGAAATATATTTCATATATTACCAAATGATATTTATTTTATTGTTTTCGTTTTCTACCCAGAAAACTCGTATATAAATCAAAGAGTGTTTAAAAGGTTTCTGACTTACATTTTATTAATACTCTCCAGCTAATGAATCGTTTTATTTTCGTGAACAAATTAAATGTGTTCATGTAATTTCATAAAT